CTTCGTCTAATATCACTCAACTCATAGTCCAACGTGCGAGGCATTTACCCAATCTTAAGAAAGTTTCGGCTTTCCTACTACAGCGGAAAACCCGTCATGACCCCTAATAAAACTATAACTTTTTTTTTTTTTTTTTTTTTTTAATCGCAGCCAAACCATCCTTGCCATACAACAGACTACATTTGTTCGGTATTTTCATAGAAAATTCTAGGTTTCTTGGCTACAGCGGGACCAACCCCGAAATGAAAACAACACCTCATAAGTACCAAGCGTCATGGGAGATCCGAAATTTTTATGAAGCGGGACCAACTACCCGACGAGCATACAATACTTTAACATCACTAACCTTTAAGAAAATTTTAGTCCTTCTTAACTATAGATGGAGCCAACCTTTGCACAAACTACATTCTCAAACCTATGTTTCCTGAAAGGTTCAAGATTCCGACTACAATGGGACCAACCCCATCAACAAGAGCATAAGATCAGTACGAAGTTTAAAAAGTTTGCAATCTACGTACCAGCAAGGAACCATTCCCAATCCGCAATCTTGCACCTAGACTCTACATAAGGGAAAGTTCCCCTTCTTAACTAAAATAGTACAGTCCTACTTGATACAAGCTTGCTTCCTTTTAACGGAACCAATTCCACTTGCTATAACTTCAATTCTCAAGACATACTTCCTGAAGCAAGATCGTTCTCTTATAAACAAGGAGATGAAGTATAAGATTTCATCGACCAGAGTTAACTCTAGACTATCAATAGAGCATAAAACAACCTTGCTTAGCCTGAGAGAAGTTCTTTTTTTTTTTCTAATGACCACAAAGGTGAGGTAAGTGAATAATAACAATTTTTACTAGAAATTGACCGAGTTCCGAAAACTTGTTATCCTTTTCCGTATGAGATAGAGAGACATTGATGAACCTTATGTCCTGATGAGGTTAAGACATCATCTGCATGACCTGTAAAATCATTACTGTGAGTAATGACTTTTAGCACTTGCTAGTATCTCTAAGTTTTGATTACTTTTGTCCCCCCGAGTTTCCTCCTCTTCCCTCTTCCCCCGTCTTTTTTTTTTTTTTTTTTTTTTTTAAAAAAATTTATTTATATTTTTTTTTTTTTTTTTTTTTTTTTTTTTTTTTTTTTACACATTTATATAATGTATATATAATATATATAGTCAGTATTTAGTGACATATCTCGTCCTCCTCCTCCCAATCATGATCTTTGTCCTCCTCCTCCTCCTACCCCTCACCCCTTCTGTGGTACTCTGTCAAATAGTTCTCCCCTTCCTTTCTGTCTGTCTGTCTGTCTGTCTATCAGTCTGTCTGTCTGTCCTCCCCCTCCTGTCTGTCTGTCTGTCTATTTGTTTCTCTGTCTGTCTGTCTGTCTGTGCGTCTCTCTGTCTCTCTGTTTGTCTGTCTGTCTGTCCTCCGCCCGTCTGTATGTATGTCTATCTGTCTCCTCCTCCTCCTCCTACCCCTCCTACCCCTCTCGTGGTACTGTCTGTCTGTCTGTCCTCCCCCTCCTGTCTGTCTGTCTGTATGTTTGTCTGTTTGTCTGTCTGTCTCTCTGTCTGTCTGTCTGTCCTCCTCCCGTCATACTGTCTGTCTGTCTGTCTGTCTGTCTCCTCCTCCTCCTCCTACCCCTCCTCCTCCTCCTCCTACCCCTCCTCCTACCCCTCCTCCTCCTCCGCCTACCCCTCCTCCTACCCCCTCCCTTGGTACTGTCTCTCTTTCTCTCTCTCTCTCTCTCTCTCTCTCTCTCTCTCTCTCTCTCTCTCTCTCTCTCTCTCTCTCTCTC